TGAATTAAACATGCCCCCCCCCCGACATGCACGTATGCTTCCTGCCACGCAAACCCTTCCCCGTTCGTACTTTGGTGACAGGTTGGAAGAATAATCGCCGGCTCAAATGATCCGGAAAAACGGAGCTGGGTGAGGGCGTCCCGGAGGAGTGACAGCCGCAGCGCTCCGACCTCACGCAGACCAGCTTTTCGCTTCTCCTCCATTTCGAGGCACGGCACCGGAGCCCACTTCAAACAGGTGCGTTAACGGTCGTCTCCAAAACGCAGCAGGCTCAGCTGGCACGCTCAGCGCCCTTCTCCGTACAGGACAGCATGTAGTGCTGGGCTGCTACAGGTCAAACACCGTCCCCAGGGATACAGCTGGCAGAGCAGGGTGCTTGCTTTGCATGCCAGGTAAATAAATGACTGGCTTTTGCATGCACACAAAGACCCCAGTCGAGTGTAATATTAAACTAATATCTCCCACAGTCCCTATCGAGTGATGGCACCCTGCATTAGCAGGCTATGAGAGGACAGAAAGGTTCGTGGGGCCCTCACCATTAACGAACACACAACTTCTTTTATTTAGATCGTCTTTCAGAGCCTGAAAGCCCAATGCCAGCAAAGTCCCACACCCTGCCCTAGCAATAGCAACGTCGGGATTGCGAGCAAAACGTCATTTGCATCTTGTCTGAAAACGATGGCAACGGCTTAAAAAAAGAAAGGCGTCTCCAGGTTAACGACACCGGGGCCCTAAACGAAGAATAAACCCGTGGCACAGTGAGAGGCGAAGCATGACTCGTGGAGCAGAAGCCTTGTTTTGCAAGGAACGGGAGCAAGCCGGCCGGGAGGACAAGCGTCACCTAAGTGTTGGGACCAAAATTAAAAGAGGAGGAGGTCGCAGCTGTGATTTCCATAAGTGCCTGTGGGCCCTTTCCTCTGCACTCACATGGGCAAGCCCTTGTTAACCAGCATCATCCAGGACGCTCTTAGGACCCCAGGCAAAGATAAGGTCCCAGTGGTGAGGAACGCAGGCAGGTCTCTGCCCTGAAGGCTGCAGTCTACATGTCGCACGCGATGCACAGACGGACGGAAAAGACACAGGGACCTCGCTGGCAAACTCCTGCAGCCACTTGAGTCGAAGGGGGACCTGTCCCCAACTTGAGCGGGGCCGGCACGGTTTAACGTTTACTTCTGCGGTGTTCAGCCCTTTCCGGGGAGTGATGAGGGATGGTCCCTGCCCCTGGGAACGTCCAGCGTGGGAAGCTGAGGATTAAGCATCCCTCTCCAGCACCGCCAACCCCAGGCAGCAGCGCTGTGCTGAGCCCACAAGACAGAGAGTGAGACTGATCCCAGCACGCGCCGAGCTTTAAACACCCGAGCGCTGGCACCTGCATTCAGCATAGCACGGAGGCACGGGCTGGGATCCTGCACGGGGCAGCACCTGCTTCGTGGTGCTTTGCTGGATCCAGACCTCAGCCCAGAACCATGCAGAACAGGGGGCAGAGGGGAGAGACCCCCCAGCACACCGCACAGGGTGACCACTGACTCCCCTTGTTGACAACTATTCCAGCCTTAACCAAATGAGATTTTAGTCCCAGATACAAGGCCATGTCCTTTTTAAAGCAGCACTTTTGTCTGACGGGCTCCCTTTGATGGCGGCGAGTGAGAACGGAGTGTGTGAGCCACCAAACAAAGGGCCAGGCGCTCCACCAGGGTAAGGCGGCATTGCCAGTGGACCAACACCGCTTCACCAGCCTAAGATACGGCCCTTTCTGTAGGCCCCGACCTGCTCCCACCAAAGAGCTTTACTCCCACTCCCGATAACGTGCGGAAGAACTCGACTGAGATAAAACCGGAGCGAGAGCTGGCTTTAGAGGCATTGATAATATGCGGATGCTCTGAGCAACTCTATAAATGCATCCCATTTCTTCAGGCTGACCGCGGCTGTATTTGAATGAGCCAATGGACACAACGGCAAGAAAACAGCCGATGCTCAGCCGCAGCCTGTAGGAACATCTTTGGAGAGATGCTGGCAATGCACGCATCCAGAAATCAGTTATCTACGGCATTTAGGCCCTGCAAGGACATGCTCTCCTTTATGAATAGAGCCTTGTCTCCAATTTGTTCCTGAAATTCAGATTGAGCCAACCTTCCTCTTCCTCCAAAGGAATATGCAAGTAGCCCTGGTGCGTACGCAAACGGAGACGGCTCCGTGACCCGCTCCACGCCGGCCGTGCCTCAGGCCGTCACTACAGCAAAGGGCCGTGGCACCAGATCTGCAGGACAGCACGCGGACAGAGGTTTTGAGCTTAAAGCTCTGGCAGTTTCTCCCCGCTCCAGAAAGGCGACTGCTTCAAGGGACGGACAGGCAGGGATGAGGAGAGAACTAAAATTAGACCTCTCCATTGTGGTTTGGTTGGTGGGGCAGCGTGCACGCAACTCGTGCAGCTTGCCGTGCCTCTCTGCTCAGCCGTCCCCACGAGCAAAGCCATTGGGAGGAACAAGCTGGTTGTGCTCCACCCTTTCACTGCTTGGAGCAACGATCCTCCAAGCAGGGCACCGAAATACCACGGCAAACCTCTCCTCTGCTCTTCTGGAGGAAGCTCAGGATCCGATTCTGCAACCCTCGTTTCCGAGAGCAGAGGGAAACGGGGTCGGGCCCAAAGACACCCACCCACTTAGCGTGGTCACGGTCTGAAGACGCCCCCAAAAGGGAGAGCTACACGCACATTACTGAGCGACGCAGGAAACTGCATATTTCCTCACGCAGCCCACAGGCCGCTCCTGCTCTGGGCTTTGTGACGCTCCAGCTGCGCCCTCCTACTCGGCTGCACGGGGCCGAGTTTCTTGTGCAAGTGGACGCTTGGGTTCCCCTTCAGACAACTCCCGAAAGCGTGCACGTGGCCAGGAGCAGAGACTGCCTGCAGAAGGGAAGGACGGGCACGGCTAACGTGCCACTGGATTACAACCGGGATCCCCATCGTGCTTGCGGGGCACGCAGAGCCATCTGCTTTGAACTGACTCTGCCATCCTATTTGGAAACCTCCCCACCCCCCCAGCCTCATCAAAAGAGGTGGAGAGCCCAAGTTATTTTTAAAGGAGGTACATCTGGGCCCAGTTAACCTTGACAGTGTGTCTCTGAAATCTATAAGGTTTAGATAATCAAGCAGACTACGCTGATTTTCCATTGTGCCCGCCGAGGAAAAAAAACACAAGACACACACGCGCTACCCAACCATGCAAAAGCCGGCAATTTAAATAGCAACTTTGAATGCTCAGCTAACTCTCCCCACTGGGATGACCTCACTGGGATGTATGCGCCAATAGGACCGAGCAAGGAGGCTACAGTCCCAAAATGATATGAATTATATTAAATAAAACAAGTAGTCACGGCAGCAACCTAGAGCAGCCCCTCCAGAGGCAGCTGTATTACACCCTCCTTGGATGGCAGGACACGGGCAGTGCAGGACTGCAACGAAGCGCTTGCACAGTCGGGACGCTGGCTTTGCCATGGGTTAGAAAACAGAGCCTCAGGCCCGTGCCAGCGTTGCTCCCTGGCCAGCAAATCAGGTGAAAACTCTGGGGGGAGAGCAAACCAAATACCCCAGAAGCCGTCAAAGCGAGTCTACCCTAAATAAGTGATTTTAGCATAGGCTGGCACAGAGCTAAAGAGAGCCTGGCGCACAGGCTCCCTTGCTGTGTACTTCATTTAATTAATTTAGATTTCAAGATACCCGATAAAATCTCATAAATACCAGCCTGGGAATTTATCAGCCGTCTTTGTGCTTGCCAGGCTGCGATCCCATCACCAGTGTCCGCTTTACAATCCTCCATTAACACGGCTGCTCTTAAATCGGTCTGCCACTTGCAGCATCGAGTCACCATTCACCACGAGGCGCGCGCACTCGCTTCATCTAAACATGGGCTTAACCTCTGCCCTAAGAAGCAGTTTGACTTCAGCCAGAAGTCCATCAGCCAGAAGTGCTGAGGAGGGCAAAAATGGTAAGCAATGAGTAGAGAGAAAGTGTCCGGCAAATTAATTGCAAGTCCACAGTTAATTAAACTAAGGACGTCTGAAGAGTGTAAATGAGCACGGCCCTGCACTGGCAGCCCAGGCAGTACAAGGTTGGCTCACCACTAGCACCGACCGTACAAAAACGACCTTCCTTAGGTTCCTTTGTGAACCCCAAGGAAAAATCACCGACGATTCACCGGTTTACTGCACGCCAGTATTTTCAGAAGTCCCAGATGCTGCCGCATGCACGCAGGGCGGTTCTCGTGTGCTTCGAGTTGAACGCCTGCTGCATTCATTCACCAAATCAGGATGCAACGAGTCTTATGCGCAAAAGCTAAGTGTACTCATACGGCTTTGCCAGATCAGAGCACCTAACTCATCGGATCCAACAAGAACCGTCAGGCTCCCCGTTTCCCTAATTTTTGGAAGCCCAATAAGTGAAAGCAGTTTATTCAACCTCCTTCCATTGCTGCAGCCCGATTTAAAAAAACAACAACCGCCACCCCAAACCACTCCCAAAAGATTCGGCAGGAACCTGAATTCTCGTTTGAAGTAGACCCTTTTCTTGCAATGTTTTTTTCCCAACATAGGTTATCTGGATGGCACGGTGCCAAAACGTACTAACCGCGAGTCATGTTAGTTTATTTATTAACATCATCCAGCAATAAAAGTAGTGGGCCTAGATCAGGAGTGGGCAATTATTTGGGCCTGAGGGCCACGTGGGGAGCTCTGCTAAGCTGTTGTGGGCCAGGAACAGCCCCGCCAGGCCCTGGGTGCATTGGCCAGGGCTGGCCCGGGGTGAGCGGGGGGGGTTTGGCCCCATGCGGAGCGCCGCAGGGGCAGCTGTAGGCCAGATCCAGTCACCTAGCAGACCGGATCTGGCCTGTGGGCTGTATTTTGCCCATCCCTGCAAAAACTAAGTCACACAAAGGCATTTGGAGTT